ATAGCACTTAGCATGACTTGCACACATATTGGGCATCAGTAAATGTTTGGTGAATTGAAACAGTAAATGACCTTGCAGGTTGTGTTCACTAGAAACACAACTATACTTGACCAAAGGCCCATGATGCTTCTTTCATTGATAGGGAGTATAGCTCTAGCTTTATACTTGAAGAAGACAAAAAGTTACAAATAAAAGATTTACCCTTTATTGTTTTATTATAGGAAGTAGAACAACTAAGAATGGAACGCCTACAGATTGATGAACAGCTACGACAGATTGGTATGGGTTTCAGACCTTCTTCCACCAGAGGGCCTGAAAAAGAGAAAGGATATGCCACTGATGAAAGTACCGTCTCTTCTGTACAAGGTTCTAGGTCTTATAGTGGAAGAGGCAGAGGTCGTCGGGGCCCTAATTACACCTCCGGTTATGGTAAAAAATACTTCTTTTTCCTTTCTTTTTTAACTAGTTCTAGTTTAGGTGCTCCAATACATTTTGCTTAATATTATTTAGTTAGTTCTTTACCTTATTTTGCCTTTGAGGGCAGTAGATAGTTCTGAAGAATACATCTTAGTAATAGTGATGGTACACTTTATATTAATGACAATAAAAGGCATGCAATTACAGCTGTGTAATCAAATAAAACATGTTTTTGTTAAGTTGATAGATCATGATCATATTTATTAAGTAGATATGAAACTTGTTTTCCAAAAATTTCCCCTATGCAGTTATATGCATTTTCCAATAAAAGCCTAATAATGCTGGTTATACTACTAGGAATCATTTTTGCTTACTCTCTGGGGAAAGGAGAAATATGCTAAACACTGTGCCAAGATTGCATATAACAAATATATACTAGCTTTTAAAATATATTTTACTGGCTCATTCAGCAGTTCTGAATATTAATATCTTGAACTATTTTATGAAATACAGCATTTCACTAAAGTGAGGGCTTTAAAAATTAGAACCTAATTAACATTTTTATAAAATGTATTTATTTTACTGAGGATAGGGCCTAACCCATATAGCAAGGGGCCAATGGATTGTGGTGGTCAGTAATCTCTAATCCTAAATTCTCACTTATTCTTCGTCAGCTTTGTGGAGTTTTCCAATTTTCTACATTTGGACTTGGATCTTAGCAGTGACCTGGTTATTTTTTTCCTTCATTCTTTCCTTTCTCTTCTTCTCTACTCCCCTATGCTAATTCTAATTGCTTTTATCCCTAAAGTAAAAGGCATTTAGGGAAAGTAAGAATATATAAAAGCTTACAGTGTGCAGATTACACATCCAAATTTCATGTCATGTCATGTTACCAGTTATGTTAAATTTGTACTATTTTTTATTTGTTGTAGAGTTGAAAGATTAATTTTCCCTTCCCTTTCATATCCTCATTTCTTTTAATTTTTAGTTAACCCTATATTGAAACATGAAAAACAAATTCCAATAAAGTAAAACTGTTTAGCACGTGAAGGGCTGAGAATTGTGAACAATTATATTCCTGAAAACATTTAATACAAAAGAAAAGCAGAAGTTAAATAGAAATTAAGTATATACTGAATGATTTCAGAAGTGTACAAATTACTACTATTAATAAATGACATATTACTTTTTGATGATGAGGATTATAAGCCTCTGTGGGAAGTCAAGTGAAATTATAGAAGAGAGATCATTTTGTTTTGCAAAAGGCTTTTGTTGAGAGTAGATAATAAATTTACCTGAGAAAGGTAGAGGCATATCATTGGGACTGAAGAAAGCTCTGCCAATTGTTCAGTAGATGGCACTCTTACCTCTGAATAACACTGTCTTTTTTAAAATAACCATGGAACTTAAATGGGCTTGAGAGAAATAAAATCATTTGAATTTGGTTATAGATCTTGTTCACTTGATATCAGAAGGATTTTTTTAAGGAGATAATACATATAAACTGTATAAGAAACATTTTCTCTATAACATCCCTGAAGTTGGTAAGTGTTTTATAATGGATGATGACTTACAACTTTTATTGGCAATATTTGTTGAATGACACACAAAAGTATGTCTTAGGATGAATGAGTGGCATATGGATTTGATAAAATATACTTCAACTATTAAGTTTAGCATACCAATCATTGAAAAGGATGTGAATCATCTTTAGGGGTGCTTTTAGACGATTTAGAAAGGGGGAAATCTGATTTAAAATTGTGTTATAAACATCTTTTAATTTGTTAAGAGTCATTAAAAATTGAATCAGTTTTATGAATTTTAAAGCTTTTTAAAAAAAGTGTGTAAGTTCATAAGTTCTAATACATTCTTCACTATTCATGAAATGATAAGTATTTGGGAGATTAAAGGAGAAAGGAAGTTGGTAGGCTCCTTCATTTGATAAACTTCACATTTTATTTCCTATACTATAAAAGTTCCTTTTAACTTTTGTATCTGAAGAGCTCTTGTGTTTTGCTTTTATTATCAAATGACATTTGCTTTTATCATCAAATGGCATTTAAATGTAGGGAATTTTTAGTTTAGCATGGAAACACTCTTATTTGGGAGTTTTAGCAAAGGAATTTTAAAATCATGCAGCGAATTTACTTAACAACAAAATGATTATGTACATTGGTAGGCATCTGGGAGCAGTTAAAGGTATGAGACAGAGCTCTGCACCCTTTACATTTATCATAGCCCAAGTGAGAAGTAGATCCAAAAGGGGTTAAAAATAGAAAACAACATTCAGCAACACTGCATGACGGGTGTACATTCTTCTAAGAAAATGAGAGGAGAGTTCTGTTTTCATTCACAGTGGTCTCTACCTAGAAATTGAACTGGGCTTTGAAAAAAATGTTTAGTTATATGATAAAAGGAAAAGGTGGAAGAGAGATCCCAGAACTACCTAAAAATAGAAGTAAAAATGAGTGTGATAGTGATTGGGTTACATAAATCTAATATAATGGTGATATTGTAAGGCTTCTATAGAGTATTTGCAGTAGTTAAATTTTTAAAGCATCATTATTAAAATAGGTCATTTGAAAGAAATGGTCTAAACTTTTAAAGCCAGGTTGAATTTTTATCTCATGGATCATGTCTTTAATTCTGTTGTTGGTTTGAAGTCTTTTCTCAGAATAATCCTCTTAAAATTTGTTCAGTAATTTTAAATACTGTATTCTAATTTAAGACACTTGCTCATAAAACAGCTATTTTATATACAGCCACTAAAAATACATGCCCAGTTTAAAAAAAGACGGTTATCAGAAACATCCTAATTTCAGAGATATTAAAATGTAAAAAAAATGGTAAAATGCACTATATAACTACTTTTCTAAATATAATTGAAGTTGCTTTTAAATATTGGATAGCAGTTATATTTACTAGTTTGATATTAAACATAAAAATGGGCAAAACTTTAAAATTATTTTCCCATTTAGTGCATTTTTATATTTGTGTATGTAATGTTCTATGTGTTTTCTGTAATATTCTATTGACTGCAAAACAATTCAGGTTTTAACTTCTGAAGAGTAGATATTATTAGTATTTTGAAATCAGTGTTTGATTTAGTGTTTTTGAACACTAAATAGCCAAATAGCAGTTATTTAAACAATGATTTGCAGGAATTTTTAAATTTTTCTTTCATTCCTATAAAAAAATTGGCTTATGTTTTCTTCTTTCCGAAGGTACAAACTCTGAGCTGTCTAACCCCTCTGAAACAGAATCTGAGCGTAAGGATGAGCTGAGTGATTGGTCCTTGGCAGGAGAAGACGATCGAGAGAGCCGACATCAGCGTGACAGTAGGAGACGCCCAGGAGGAAGAGGCCGGAGTGTTTCAGGGGGCCGAGGTCGTGGTGGACCACGTGGTGGCAAATCCTCCATCAGTTCTGGTAGTCTTTTATGTACTATGTCAGCATCCTTTCTTTGTAAATATTGTGACTTTATACAAATTAGCTTGTTTTCTGGGGCCACTGATTTTTGGAAGTTTAGAACTCACTGAGGAAGATAATACAACATAACAGTATAAGGAAAAGCCCTTACAGTGTTTTATCATTGAAGGTTAACTAGAATATTTGGGTCAGAAAAATGGTCAGATGTTTATCCCTTCAATTTTGAGGGGCTTATGTAATTAAGAGGTTTTTTTTCCTCTAGAACTTTTGAGTGTTATGTATTTGTTGACCAGAAAGACCTAGAGAATTCTTATGGTCAGAAAGATCTAAATTCCTTTGTGTACTTACTATTGAAAAGTAACTGAAAAGCATTTTTTGCTACATTATGTACTACTTTGGGAACAGGAAAAAATTGTGTTGTCAATTTAAAATATTTTTTAATTATTTTACTGTTTGAGGAATTGAGTTGTAAAGAGAAATGTTCAAAAGACTGAGATTTGAGGTGTGCAAGCAACTTTTTACTCATGTTTTTTGAAGATTTTAAATGCTATAACTTCAGTGGAGTTGTAGAGTTGCCAGGATGTTTTTGCTCAGCATAATAGGGCTGGTGGGAGAATTGTCAGGGATACTTGGACTAGATTATATCAGGGAAATAACCATAATGTATTGTAAACCACTTTAAGAAAACCACTCTTAATGTTATATAAAGCCCTATGAAAGTTTATATAGTATTTTAAATGTTATACATTATATATATATTTAATATATACCAGATGTGCTTATAAGTTAGAAAAAACTGGAACAAATCACAAAATTTAGGGACTTTTTGAAAGATACTCTCTAGTATCAGTGAAGCTCTTTAATACCTAAAATTTACTTTATAGGCTTTTAGATAAATAATCTTTATATTTTAGTACATTGTTCACTATTACCAAGGTTTATATTATAATATGCTGAATTGCAAAATAAATGTACTTAGTGTTTATGATTAATGGATAAACTTAGTGTCTTTTGCAAAGATGCTAGCTTGCTAGCTGTTACCAAAGGAAACTTAGAAATGAAAAGTCGTGATTAGGTGAATTTCTTCTATAATTTGATTGGTGGAGGCAATAAATGCACATAGGTAAGATGGGTATTTTTTTCTTTCAAATTATGTCTTAAAACTTTACTTTTCCCACCCTCACCCCACCTTATCCCACCTTTACTTTTTGTTTGTAGAGATGGGAGTACTAGTCAACACTCATTTCCACATTTTGCTATAACCAATTAGAATTTCAACTTTTTTAGTTTTTTTTTTTCTTTGTGTTTGTGTAGACTTGTTTTGATTGCTTCAGTTTATAGTTAACAGATTTCTGGTAAGTCGTGGAGTGCAGGTGTTGAGTATTATTTGGAAATAGTCCATTAATATTAACAAAAAGAAGCAACAGTCACCTCAAACTCATAAAGGTGACAAAAACACTTTCTACAAATTAATTCATATTAGCTGAATATTTCTCATTTATTTTTATTTTTCTAACCTCTGGTCAGGTTTAGCTTGGAATGTGAATGTCAGAAATAGCATGTATTATGTGCTATATATATATCCTAACATTTTCAAAACAAGTCAAAGTGAAACAGTAGGAAGCTGAGATATCTGCTCATCTTTTGCTTTAATTTTTCATTGCCATTTCAAGTTTTTTTTTTTTTTTATCTTTAGTACTCACCAGGTAAAGTAGTGATAAAGAAAATATTTGAAGACAGAATATATTTTTATTGGGGGGAAATTTAAGTTTCTTAATTATTAATTAATATAGCTTAATATAGATCAAAACATTCCTATTAACTGCAGCTCTCCTAAACGAATATTTCTTGCCTCTGACATGCATTTAGTGCTCAAAGATCCAGACAGCAATCCATACAGCTTACTTGATAATACAGAATCAGATCAGACTGCAGACACTGATGCCAGCGAATCTCATCACAGTACTAACCGTCGTAGGCGGTCTCGTAGACGAAGGACTGATGAAGATGCTGTTCTGATGGATGGAATGACTGAATCTGATACAGCTTCAGTTAATGAAAATGGGCTAGGTATGTAAGCACTTAGGGAAAAGATACATATTGTATAATACTGTTAATGTGTTATTCTTTTTTCACATAAAAAAAACAAAACCCCAAAAATATGCAGTTTGAAAATTCGATTTTTTAGTGCTTGTTTCAAAGTAGATAGCTTTGTATCCGTCTTAAATGCCCAGTTTCCAGATTTATATAGTCAAATTATTTGAAACTGAGAGGATTTATTAAAGTGCCCTTTGATGCCATTGCATAACACAAATATACAAACTGCAAGGCACTTAATACTCTTATTGTACCTAAACCACAATTGGGCTTTCAGCTTACCTCTTTAAACATTACTATAAATGGCACTAATAAAAATGTGTATATTGAGTAGGCGTTAATTTGCAAAGGGCTAAACTGTCATTAACTTTGGTTAATAAATAAACTGTATTGGAGAGGAAAAGTTTGATTTCCCTGAATGATGGCATTTTAAAAATTAAGTCTGAAAGTTTAAGAGTTAAAACCCTTTTAATTTCCAGATGATAATTCCATTTTGTAAATCTATTTGGAATGCTTAAAACTACAAGTTATTTTCCTATCAGTAATTTATGTGTTTTGTCTTCCCTATTTAACTGAAAATTTCTCTTTCCCTTTCCTTGAATCTTTGAAGGAACAAAGTTTTTGTCTTGTTTTGTTTTTATCAGAATAGTTCATGGTAAATTTTGCAATTACAGATGATAGTGAAAAAAAACCCCAGCGACGCAATCGTAGCCGCAGGCGTCGTTTCAGGGGTCAGGCAGAAGATAGACAGCCAGGTAACTTGAGTGGACCTGTTGACAACAGCAGGTCATAAGCATGAAAAAAAATGTCATGTGTCTGCTTTCTAAATATATTATACTTACATATACACATGTGTGCATATATATTCAAGATGTGCATTGCATAAATTGTTTACTCAACTAATAAGACTACTACTCTTAAGAAAATGCATTCTTCCTTGACACTATAAATGTTTAGTAACCTGTCTAATTGAACTAATATGACTCAATTTTTTTCATGGAAATACTGTTGAGAAGGCCATTATTTTGTCCACTTGGCAGATTCTTCACACTTGAGTTGTGGCCTGCCATCCCAGGGGACTATGTTGTTAGATTGTGATTGAGATTGATTGGCAAAACTGGAGAGCTTTTGCATGGTGCCTGCTTACTCTTATCTGCATTTGCACCTCATTTTTGTGGGAATTTTATAATACCCACATTTTTTAAAAAAAAGTGTAAATGAGAAAAATACTTGAAAATGTCTTTTTCCTAATAAGAGGAATGCATGTTATGTTTTTGTTTATTGTAGTGTGATGTTTTTCCCTATGCCTACTAACTATTCAAATTAATAGTACTTACTTATTAGCTTTAGAATGTTAATTTTTAAGTAGTCATGTTTTAGTAACTTCAAAGAAAACTTGTTGGTTGTGTCTATATTATTTTGAACATAATTCCATTTCCTGTGTAAGAGAATCACATGTATATTCACAAATAAACCCCTTTTAAACTAATCACTTTTGCATTCTTTCCAGAGCAAATTCTTTCATGTGTTTTCCCCAAATAAGAAATATAAATACCATTATCTTATGTATTTTAAGTTAAGTGATTATAGAGATATTTGAAAAAACCCATATGGCTATTAGTTTCTATTCTTGAAAAAAAATTTATGCTTTAAAGATATTTGTAAATTTAAAAGGAATTAAATATTGCCAAAGATAGAAAGATTCCAGAAAATAATTGTTTTCCCATTTCATCTTTACTTCCTGCCTTCAGTGTTAGAGATATGTTTTAGATCAAGAGATCGTATTTCATATTTTTTAGGCTGGCACAGCAGTGAATATAGTATCTGGCCATACTTTATAAGAAAATTCAAGCTATCAGTATGGGAGCTTATCGTAGGATAAATTACAATGTAATTTATTAACTAAATGGATGGTGACTTATTACTAAGTCAATGGGCATAAAAAGAATGTAGTGGTTTTGTTAACGAAGAGGCAGAGATTTCTGTATGGTATTAATTGAAATTTGGAATTTTTAATAATTTGTTCCATATTGCATTTATTCTTATTTCACTCTGTTCTTTTGGAAAACTGCTTTTCATCTTTAGGATTTTTTGCTTTCCCTAGCCTATTCCTGCCCTACTCTCTCCTCATATCCCCCTAAAAAAACACACACAAAAAAAATAAACCCAAAACTCAAAATAAGATAGAACAAGCACACATTTTCTCAATGCCCCTGCAGCAGTTCTAGGAAGGCAACCTCTATCTAAAGAATATCAATGTTCTTTTAAATACACAATTATTTAATTTGTTCCCATTTGCTTAAATTTCTTGTCCTTAATGTTAATCAAACTGAATATTCTTTACTAAGAATGTACAATACAGTGGTGTCCAGTTGATTAACTTGGACCTCTAAGAGGAAATTCTAGAGTCCAAATTAAGTTGCATAAATTGCCTGTTTTTGTTTTGTTTTTTCCTAGATATTTTAAATAAGTATTAATCTGTATTGAACTTCTAAGTGGCTTGTATTTTAAAGACTGGCTATAGATAGGGGTTTTGTTTGTTTTTTTAATTGGCAGAATTTGTTTTGGTTTTACCTTCCCTTATGGGAAAGAAAGGGCACTGGTAAGTTTTTAACTTTCCACCTAAGTGCCTCTTAATTTAATTGATAAACTAAATTAAAGTATATTATTCTATGTCTATACATAATTGTCAGGGTTTCCAAGTAGATGAGTTCTTCAAGTATCACTGAGGACTGAATTATAGAAACATAATAGATTTTAATTATTAATGTGCTTCCCAAATTAGAATAATTCCTAAAATGGTTTTATCACCAGGTACGTAGACATAACAATGAAATGTATTTGATAGTATCACTCTCCCCAATTTTGGAAACCATTGTTAAATGTATTTATAATTCATTAACAGTGAATTTAAATTATTTTTAAAGCTCCAAAATGAGTACACTGAGTTTCTTCTAATTTGGAAGAAGCACTTTTAGACAAGAAACATTTTTATGATATTTCTAATAAATGATATGTATTCTGAATTACGTTGTTTCTTTGAGCTTTTAAAAAATTTATCTAATACTTTTAGACAGTTCTTGGATCTTATAAAAGTATTAGCATGTCAATTTATGATTAAGAAAAAATGAATTGTAAATAAAATGCAGTTTTATATCAAAATGAGTTATTTTCATAAAATTTAAACCCGATGAACCAATTCTCCTCCTAACTAGTGACTAATTAGACATTTACTTTTCATTCTTTATGTAATTAATTTGCTCCCATAATTTAAAATATACTATATTTCACATAATCAGGGATTTTTCTTCACCAGTTTATGATAGAAAATAATTCTTCCAAAGAAAGATAATGATTATTTTGTTATTTCTTCAAATATGTGAATTCTAAGTTGCAAGCCTTCAGAAAGAGAGGATTGAGACATAAAATTGGACTAGCCCAGAGTATCTGTAGACAAGAGGTCAATTGTGGCACTGGGTTGGCAGTAAGTAGGACATGAGGTCAGATTAATCTTTTCCCTAGATCACTGCTGCCATCCAACTACTTGCAAACACACATACAGAACTCAGTCCCTCAAAAGATTGAAAGATTGGCAAAGTGAGGAGGGAGTGGTTAGTAAATTTATGGTGGCCTTTCTCTATGATCAGTGTTTACATTTTTAGGATGGCTTTCTGTCATCTTTAGTTTGCTTTGTAGTTTTTTATTGCCGATCAATCACTCAGAATGGTTTCTAGTGTGGAATGTTTAAAAGGAACCATAAAATACCACATTTGGATTTCTTGTGTTTTTTAAAAAAATGAGAGCTAATATTTGAGTGACTTTTTACATCTTTGATGAAATTTTCAAAGTATACCACCCCATGATTTATACCAAACTTGCCCCATTTCCTCTTCCCCCCCCCCCCCCAAAAAAAAAAAAAAAAATACTGTCTGGGCTCAGAATACTGCTTTTCTATTCTTGGTTGTGGATTTCTGTATCAAACTTATGCCACAGCCGTAGACTCAACTGGAAGCAAATGGCTGGATTCCTGTGAAAGAGGACATTAATCTAGGCTTCCTCGATCTCCAGCTTAAAACTTATTGTTATTGCTAAATTGCAGGCACATTTTTCAGGCTGTTTTTGGTTGGAGGTGTTACCCAGCTTAAGAAAAACTTGAAATTGGGTAACCCACCATTAGTTTATTTTAAAAGTAAAATTACTCTTTATCCATAAATAAACTTTAAACATATTTTTCAACACCTGTAATTTTTTTCTCATCTTCAACAGTCACAGTTGCAGATTATATTTCTAGAGCTGAGTCCCAGAGCAGACAAAGAAACCTCCCAAGGGAAACTTTGGCTAAAAACAAGAAAGAAATGGTAAGGAGAATTTAAACTGTAGGTTTTGTTGCTTTCCCCGCACCCTCTTCCCCCCTCGTATGGTTTAGCACTATTTTTACTTAACTTTCTGTATGATCGCTTGTTCCCCCAAACTAAACAAATACTATTTTAGTTAAAGACTACTGTTGAGATTGTTGTTGGCCCCAGGTAACTGAGGATAGAATGCATGCTTGAGCTTGAAATACTTTTCCATTAGAACTCTAAATAGCATTTGTAAAGCTCAGTCTGCCCAAAGATATTGGTCATAAAGACTATTGCTTAATTTGGGGAGCAATAGGTTACATATCTCTTCTCAGTGATGGATCTAGATCTTTAAGTTTCAATTCTTTTAATGCTTTAAAGGATTTATATGTAACTGAGTTTTTAAAAAGGTGAGTAAAGTAGGCGATTATTTGCTTTACTTAGGGTATTAACTATATCTTTTACATGGTGAGCTTTCAACTGGTTAAAATAAAATTAGGTACAGCTTTTCAGTAATATCAAGTACATATTACATATTCAGAAATCTAGGTACCTCTAGGTACTAAAAACAAAGAGTTGAAATACCCAGAGAGGTAGAGTATATTGGTATTTGTTTTGAACTTAAAGAATATTTGAATTATTTGATCCATTGTATCAAACTAAAATTATGTATTAGCTAATTATTGTTTATGTAGCTATTTTCCTCCTCAGCTATAGATTTTATTTATAAAGAAGTTGAAAAAGTTGTCTCCCTTTGGCAGGCAAAAGATGTGATTGAAGAGCATGGTCCTTCAGAAAAGGCAATAAATGGCCCAACTAGTGCTTCTGGCGATGAAATTTCTAAGCTACAGCGTACTCCAGGAGAAGAAAAGATTAATACCTTAAAAGAAGAAAACACTCAAGAAGCAGCAGTCCTGAATGGTGTTTCATAAACTGAAGAAGTTCCTAGTTTACAGTTCTTTTACATTACATTTTACAATAGTGCTTGTACAGCTTGCCAAAGATAGAATATGGATCGCCAGTCTTTACATCGCACTTTCAGTTCCTCCATTTGGAATTCAGAAAGGGGAGGGATCCTGAAGAAATCATATGTTAAACATACTTTGACACCTACTGTGTTATAAAATATATCATCAGATGTGCCTTGAGAATAGTATATGTAACATTAAAAAAAGTTGCTGGCTATAGGAAATGTTATTTTGTTTTCAAAATATGGCAGAAATGGGGGGAGGTGGGTGGGTGGGATCCCTGACATAATATTCTTTATGAAAGCATTAGCTGCTTTTGTTACATTTTTAATATGCAACCACTTCACCCTGAGGAAAACTAGAGTTGAAATGCAGTCTAAGATATTTTGCACTGAATTGTAATTTCTTCATTAGTTTAGTCTGGAAACTGGTCTGTTTTGATGTGTTTTTAAAATGCTGTAT